CAGGTGGATTTCTGTGAGTTCCAGAGTCTACAGAGCGAGTTCCAGGACAGGCTCTAAAGCAATCCAGAGAAACTCTCTCACAAAAACAAAAACAAACAAAAAAAGAGTTTGAAGAGATGTGCTCTGAATTAATGGATAATTCTGCTCCCACAGTCCATAAATTAGTAAACAAAAATCCCACTACAAAGTAATTGTTTCTATGGGCAGGGAGCATAGGTCCTGAGGGGTTAAAAACCAATCACTGATATTTTATGAAATGGACATGTTGTCAAACTACTTATTAAATATTTTTATTTATCTTTTTGAGGCTGGGTTTCTCTATGCAACCTTCATTGTCCTGGAACTCTCTATGTAGACCAGGCTGGCCTTGAACTCTCAGAGACTCACTTGCCTCTGTCTCCCAAGTGCTGGGATTAAAGCCGTGCGCCACCACTGCCCAGCCTAAATAGGACTTTATAAAACACACACACACACACACACACACACACACACACACACACACACACACACACACCACATTGTGGAAGAATGTAAGAGCTTGAACAATGGGGAGGAGTGTAGTGAAACACTGTCTCATTGTCATTTGGACAGGAGATGGCTGTTGTACTCAGGAACACCCATGCACAAAACTGAACCTGTCAACAACCCATCTTGGACGGAGAAGGAGTATAGTAGGCCCATTCTCCCTTAGGAACTAAAGGCAGTTAATGGTTGGTAGGGGAATAGATGCTATATTCCTCAGTGGTGCACTACTTTAAGTTGACGTTGCTCAAGAAAACAACTCCTGTCTGTATAAGCAAAACTAATTAAATGCAGTGTGGCAAGCAAGGCACCTAAAGACTTGAGCCACACTGACAGTTTGTGGCCTGGAAAATTCTTTTGCATGTAACCTTATGGATATTTTTCTACCTTATTCTTTGTTTTTCACTTTACATGTAATTAGATAAATGTGTTTTTCGTGTTTTGTTTTATTTTATTCATTTGTGTTACATTTGCATGTGTGTGGGTGAGTGTGTGAGTCCCATCCCATGGCACTTGAATGGCTGTCAATAGACAACTAGTAGCAGGACTGTGATGGTGCTCGCCTTTAATCCCAGCATTCAGGAGACAGAGGCAGGTAGATCTCAGTGAGTTTGAGACCAGCCTGGTCTACAGTGCTAGTTCCAGGACACAAAGAAACTCTGTCTCAAGAAAAAAAGTTACAGTGAAGTCTATCTTTCTTTCTTTCTTTCTTTCTTTCTTTCTTTCTTTCTTTCTTTTTATTTTTCGAGACAGGGTTTCTCTGTGTAGCTTTGGAGCCTGTCCTGGCACCCTCTCTGGAGACCAGGCTGGCCTCAAACTCACAGAGATCCGCCTGCCTCTGCCTCCCGAGTGTTGGAATTAAAGGTGTGCACCACCAACGCTGGGCTCTTTTTTATTCTTTTTATTTAAAGCTTTACTTATTTTATGTATATGGTGCTCTCTACATATACATCTACAGGCCAGAAGAAGGCATCAGATTCCATTTTAGATGGTTGTGAGTCACCATGTGGTTGCTGGGAATTGAACTCTGTACCTCTGGAAGAGAAACCAGTGCTCTTAACCACTGAGCCATCTCTCCAGCCCTATCTTTTTTCACTATGTAGGTTTTACGGATTGAACTCAGGTCTTCAGGCTTGGCAGTAGACACTCTTACCCATTAAGTCATCTAACTAGCCCTAATTTTTTTCAATTGTCAAAAACCTATGCACTAGAAATAAGTCGCAAAATTTTCATTATTCACAGTAGGTATATACCTGGGCTACAAGAATCTTCATTTTAATCTGACTCAGTCTTTTAGATTAGATCATCTCAATTTCTTTGTGTTATTTTCTCTGACTATCTGACCACAGTGGAGCTTTGATGTAGGGAGACACTAGGAGGCGGGGCTACTTTGATATATTTCTTCTTCACTCTTGAAAACATATTTTAATATTACTGAATGGCTTGGTCAGTGTTATATTTCTGTGAAGAGACACCATGACTACAATGCCTAATAACAGAAAGCATTTCATTAGGGCTGGCTTACAGTTTCAGAGAGTTTAGTCCATGGTCATCATGGCAAAAAGCATAGCAGCATGCAGCCAGACATGATGCTAGAGAAATACCTGAGAATACTATATCCAGATAGGAAGGCAGCAGGAAGATAGAGGCAGTGGGCCTGACTTAAGCATTTGAAATCCTAAAGCCCATCCCCAGAGACACACTTCTTTCAACAAGTACACACCTACCCCAACAAGGACACACCTCCCAATCCCTCTCAATAGAGCCACTCCCTGATGTCTAAGCATTTAAACACATGAGACTACGGGGTGGAGGGACATTCTTACTCAAAGACCACCCTGAACAATTAACTTAAGTAAAAAGATTTCTGTGTAAAAAATGACTGTGAGGGGGCTGGAGAGTTGGCTCAGAGGTTAAGAGCATTGACTGCTCTTCCAGAGGTACTGAGTTCAATTCCCAGCAACCACATAGTGGCTCAAAACCATCCATAATGAGATCTGGTGCCCTCTTCTGGTATGCAGATGTACATGGAAGCAGAATGTTGTATACATGTAGGGGAACCTGTAGCCATGCCTGCTTAGGGGCTGGCTACAGGTCTGCCTGACCACGCCCTTGGGCCTACATATACTAAATAAATAAATAAATAAATAAATAAATAAATAAATGATTATGAGCTAGGCATGGTGACATATGTTTTTAATTGCAGCATTCAGGAGGCAGAGGCAGGTTGATTCTGTGAGTTTGAGGCTATCCTGGTCTACATAGTGAGTTCCAGGACAGTCAGAGCTTCATAGAATGAATTTGTCTTAAAAAAAAGTGATTTTTTAGGACCAAGATCAAGGTAAGATCTTTTTAGTAAGGTTGGTTCATTTAATTTTGGTGTTTGTTGTTATATAATGATACATGCTTAGAGAATGTTATGTTCAGGTATGTTTGCAACAATGTGGGCAAATAGTAAAAGTTAATTAGCAACCAAAAAAAGTTCAGGATTCAGGACTGGTGATACCTGCCTATAATCCCAGTATTTGGAAGATGGAAGCAGGAGAATCAGGAGTTCAAGCCTCAGTTACATAATGAGTTCATGCCTAGGCTCTGTCACCAAAAAAGTTTTTACAAATCCAGAAAAAGTAATAAGACATATCAACATTGTCATAACTCTGAATCAATGTCAGAAAGGCATATCATCTCTGGAATTTTTTAAAATTTAATTTTATATATATATGAAGGGTATGTATTGCACAATGGGTGTGTCTGGTGCCTGTGGAGGTCAGAAGAGGACAATGGATTTCCTAGAACTAGAGTTATCATGGTTGTAAGCCACTATGTGGGTGCTGGGAATTGAACCCAGGTCCTCTGCAAGAGCAATTAAGTGTTCTTAACTGCTGTGCCATCTCTCTACCCCATCTCTGAAATTCGTGTCCAAAACTCATAACCTCAGTCTAATTATGAAAGGTAATCATACCAACCCATATTGACATTATGTTCTTCAAAATAACTGAGCTGTACTTTTCAAAAATCAGTGAAGACAAAGACTATCACAGACTGCAGAAGACAAAGGAGGCATACAATTATATTACAGTGTGTTAGACACTAGACTGGATCCTGGAAGGGAAAAAGGACAATAGTTTATTTAACAGAGTTACACCCAGGGCTAGAGGTGTGGCTCAGTGATTAAAAAGAAACAGTATTATGCAAATGTTAATCTCATGTTTTTGATAATTTATAATATTGTTATGGAAAATCCCCAGGGTCATTTAGGTAAAAATATATATATATGGGGGCTGGATGTGATGGCACATTCCTTTAATTTCTGCACTTAGGAGGCAGAAGCAGGCAAATGTCGGTGGGTTCTAGGCCACTCATTGCTTATAATGAGACCCTGTCTAAAAAGGGGAGAGGGAGGAATTTCAAAGAATATATATTCTGACCCTCCCAACCACCACCTGTTGTTAAGGCTGAACTTGCAACAACAGTCCTGCTCTCACCAAGAAAGAGAGAGAGGGAGAGAGAGGGTGGAAGGGAGGGAGGGAGGGAGGGATGGAAAGAGAGAGAGAGAGAGAGAGAGAGAGAGAGAGAGAGAGAGAAAGAAAGAAAGAAAGAAAGAAAGAAAGAAAGAAAGAAAGAAAGAAAGAAAGAAAGAAAGAAAGAGCTAGCACCCAGGCAAAGGGGTCCCAGCCTGGCAGTTCCCTGTCCTTTATGCCGAAGACCAGAAGACATTGCCTCATCCAAAAGCTCAGAAAACTGCAACATAGAAAGTATTCCAGGGCTGGAGAGATGGCTCAGAGGTGAAGAGCACCGGCTCCTCCTCCAGAGAACCCAGGTTCAATGCCCAGCATCCACATGGCAGCTCATATAGAGTTTGTCTTAGACTTGTGACAATTCCTCCTGCTTTGTAATTCCAGTTTCAAGAGCTCCTACACCCTCTCACAGACATACATGCAGGCAGAACACCAATGCACACAAAATAAAAATAAGTAAGCCGGGCGTGGTAGTGAACACTTTAAATTCCAGCCCAGCAGAGGCAGAGGCAGAGGCATTTTTTAAAGATTTATTTATTTATTGTGCATACAACATTCTGCTTCCATGTAGATATGCACACTAGAAGAGGGCACTAGACCTCATAATGGATGGTTGTGAGCCACCATGTGGTTGCTGGGAATTGAACTCAGGACCTCTGGAAGAACAGTCAGTGCTCTTAACCTCTGAACCATCTCTCCAGCCAGATTTTGTGTATATAAGCATTTTGCCTGCATTTATTTATGTGTGTCACCTGCGGAGTTCGGAAGACAGTGTCGGATCCCCTAGACCTGCATTACAAATGGTTGAAAACCTAGGGAGAATCAATCTGCCACCACGGTTATATCACTGAGAACTACATTTCCCAGAATGCGCGGCGCGGCGCGTTCCTATGACATTTCAAACCGTTTACCAGCGTGATCGGTTTTTCCCACGGCTTCAAGACCTGTCCTTGAGGCATTGCGTCTCGGCCGGCCCCTAGCGAATTGAGCTTAAACTAAACTTCCCAGCAAGCAGTGCGCTAGCCTGGGACTCGGGACAAGATGGCGGACCCAAACAGTGTGCCGCGGGCTGCCCCTTCAACGGCCCCGATTTCTTTCGGTTTCACTCGCACGTCTGCCCGGAGGCGACTGACAGACCCCAGAGATGGCACAGGACGGGCCTCTGAGGAGAAAGATTTCTTAACGACCGTGGAAGGAAGGGAGCTACAGAGGTGAAACGCTGGGTCTTTCACGTTTTGGAAATCGGTGCGGTGGGCGGAGGGCAGAATACGAGTTGTTTGCCCTGATGACAGTGATTTAGAAGGCCTCAAACACGGCCTCAAGAAGTTTATGGAGGCATCCGGGAGTGGTGGCAAATGTTTATTAATGTCAGCACCCGGGAGGTTGGCACCGGAGGATCAAGAGTTGAACGCTAGCCTGGGCTGTATGAGAGCCTATATTTAAAAAGAGAGAAAAATAATTAAAATTTAATTTATTATTAAATTTAATAATTTAAGGGAAAGGAGGAGGTTTGTTAGAGAGGTGGGTGAAAATGGCGCCTGATAACCAAAGGTATATATTCCTCAGAGAAAAAGTCATTGGGACTTGAGGACATGTGCGTTTTGAGAAAGGAAAAGGAGGGAGAATGACAAGACTTTTAGTGTCTCAACTGAAATAGTGGAAGCTTCTCCGATTTGGAGAATGCGGCAAATACAGGTTTGGGGAGGCCATCAGCAGCATAATTAAGAAACTGATCTGAAAGACCTAAGGGAGGGACTAATGGAAGACAGCTGTCCGGAAGGCTGTTTGCTAGCCTGAAACTGGGGAGAATCTCGACCGAAGATGGTGATTTGTAAGTCATTGTGGTTGAGAGTCCAGGAATGATTTCCATAAGACACATTTAAAGCTGAGGACACGAGGAGAGGTGATGCTTGCTTGTAATTTCAGCACTAAAAGGTTGCACCAAGAGGACAGAGTTTATAAGACCAGACTGGGCTACATAGTGAGATAACTGTTTCGAAAAGAAATGGGAGGACCTGCGGAAAAATAACTTGTGGAACATGGTCCTTCGGCTGGGTGTAGATATCTCCACTTTCTAACACTTGTACTTTCCTAACCTTTTCTCTCTGTCCCCACATCAGTGTGAACCCTCCAGAAGCCCCCAAGGAACTAGTCATCCCATTGATCCAGAATGGCTCTCGGAGGCAACCACTGGCCAAGAGCCCTAAGACATCCTCAGAAACTAAGACTGTGTTAATGTCAGATGGTGTGCTGTCCCAGGCTGTGAAGGAGCTCATTGAGGGTAAGTGAAACCTCCCCCTTTGCTCTGCCCCAGTGCAGGTAGACAAGGAGGAAGTTGGAAGGATAGAGTATGGCCTCATTGATCCTCCCATTCTTCCTTAGAATCCAAGAAGTCCCTGGAGGAGAGGGAGAATGCAGGTGTTGACCCCACGCTCACTATTCCCATGATCCAGAAAGGATGCAATCCCAGTGGGGAAGGAACAGACAGCGAACCTCAGGCTGAGACAGTGAGCTGCCCCTTTGCCATCCTCCCCCATCATTGCCTCTACCCCGTCTGGCTAGCCTCCTTGCACATAGCAGGGAAACTGTGCATGTGTGTCCCAGAGCCTTGCCAACTAGCCTTTCTCCCTTCCATCCTTATTAGAAGCTTTAACAAATAGATAGCAGGCTGTCCCAAAAAGTACTTGAATTCTGGTATTATCTGATAGAGGTGGACAGCAGAGTGGATGGGAAATACAAATGCTATCAGAGTACACACTGTTGGGAGGCAGAGGCAGGCAGATCTCTGTGAGTTCGACAACAGCCTGGTCTACAGAGTGAGTTCCAGGACAGCCTCCAAAGCCACAGAGAAACTCTCAGAAAAAAAGAAAGAAAGAGTACACACTCTTTGGAACCACTTTTGCTTGTTTCCTCTTTTTTTTCCTTCTTTCCTTGTTCTTTTTAAACGTGTAGTATGTAAAGAACTCTAAGGAAACCAGTGTGACTGGATTGGAATGAATGAGGGGTCAGGCCATAGATGAAGGCAGAGGTGACCAGATCAAAAGGGCCTTCTGAGCCACGGGGAGGACTTTTTCTTTTAGTGTGAGTGAAATGAGAGCTATGGGAAAATTCTGAGCTGACAAGGGTTGTAACAGGATCCCCTCTGGCTGCTGTGACCCAAATATGACTAATAGTGAAGGTAAGGAGGGAAGCAAGTAGCCTAAGTTCAGGATAGAGGCGGTAAGGACACTCAGAAGAGTGGCAGGAATGAAGCCTGGAAGGTTAGGGTCTGGTGAGACAAGAAAGAGATATGTCTCAGTACATTTTTGCTTTGTTTGTTTTTGTTGTTGTTTTTTGAGACAGGGTTTCTCTGTGTAGTTTTTGGAGCCTATCCTGGCACGCGCTCTGGAGACCAGGCCTCGAACTCACAGAGATCTGCCTGCCTCTGCCTCCCGAGTGCTGGGATTAAAGGCGTTCGCCACCAACGCCCCGCCAATAATGAAGTTTTTAGTCATAAATTTGTTGTAATACATCTTTCAACTGAACTATTCTCATCAGTCTTCAGATGTGCTTTGGGTTTTTTCTTTTTGAGACAGTTTTATGTAGTTCAAGCTGGCCTTGAATTCATTATGTTGCCAAGAATGACCTTGAACTTGTAGTCTTCGTTTCTCCACCAGTATCAATCAGGCTTTTTGTTCTCTCCACCCCACCCCTTTTTTGAGACAGGATCTCACTCTATATCCATGGTAGCTGTAAGTTTCCATGTGATTGCTGGGAACTGAACCCTGGTCCTTTGGAAGAGCCATCTCTACAGCTCCCTTGTTTTTTTTTTTTGTTTTTTTTTTTTTGTTTTTTTAAACAGATCTCACTTTAGAGCTCTGGTTGGCCTTGAGCTCACAGATTTCTGCTGCTCCCACCTCCCCTGTGGCATGTGCCTCCAGGCCCAGGTCTACTAAGTCCTTATTTTTACAACTGAGCCTGTTCAGAGCACTCTTCTCCTAGCCTCATACCTCCTCCTTCCTTTTTTTTTTGTTTTTTTGTTTTTTTGAGACAGGGGTTCTCTGTGGCTTTTGGAGGTTGTTCTGGAACTTGCTCTGTAGACCAGGCTGGCCTCGAACTCACAGAGATCAGCCTGCCTCTGCCTCCCCAGTGCTGGGGTTAAAGGCCTGCACCACCAATGCCCGGCTTATACCTTCCTCTATCATATCACTTATCTTTAATTAAATGATGGGTCAGTGGCTCCCCTCCCTCTGCATTCCCCATAGCCAATGTTTTGTTTTTGCTGTTGAGTTGGGGGGGTGGGTCTTACCATGTTGCCCGGGCTGGTTTCAAATATTTGGCTTTAAGCCACACTACTTTCTCATCTCATATATAGCCAGAGCTACTGGATAGTGCCACTGTGCACAGTACTTCTTTATTTTTCTTTATAAAATGTATCATATTTTCAGAATTTGATTTATTGTATGTCTTGACAACTACATCATAAGCCCTAACAGAGACTTTCTATTTTATTAGTTCCTTATCCTCAGCATCTAAAATAACAGAATAGGTCCTTTAAAAACTTTTAAGGCATATTTATTTGTATTTCATGTGTATGACTTCATGTGTATGCATATATGTATGTGCACCATGGCTCTTTACTGCCGAGCTCTCTCTCCAGCCTCTATAATAGGTTCTTTGTAAATACTTGTTGAGCTGGGTATGGTGGTGCACGCCTTTAATCCCAGCATTTAAGAGGCAGAGGCAGGCTGATCTCTGAGTTTGAGGCCAGCCTGGCCTGGTTGACATAGAGAGTTCCAGGACAGCCAGAGCTACATAGTGAGATCCTGTCTCCAACAAACAAAAACACTGGGGGAGTGGAGTACTAGAGCAATGGCTCAGAAGAGCACTTGTTGCTCTTGTAGACCCTGGGTTGAAGCCCCAGTACCCACATGGTACACATCCACCATGCCTCCAGTTCCAGGGCATCCAGTGCCCTCTTCTGACCTCCACTGAAACCAGGCACACACATAGTGTTCAAGAGCCAGGGGTGTAGGAAGTCACCTCATGAGTGCCAGCAAATACTGCAAACAGGGTCATCACAAAGCCTGACTCCCTTCTCCTGCCTGACCAATAGGTGCCAGAGGAAGCCAACTATGAGGCAGTCCCTGTGGAGGCCTATGGGCTGGCCATGTTGCGGGGCATGGGATGGAAACCTGGCAAGGGCATCGGCAATACTTTCAGTCAGTGAGTTTTCTGGGGGATTTGGGGGGTGGACAATGGGTATAAATAAGACCCCTGTGGTTACATTTAATCTAAAACCATCCAGGTGGTGAGGGAGGACATTGTCACCCTCACCAGTTCAGTAGTCACTCACTACTGTTTCAAACCCCGATTTTCACAGAGCCTTAGGTTCAAGCCTGTTATTGCAAAAGAATAAACCAAAAAGCAAACAACCTCAGATTTGCCTTCAAAACAGTAAGAAGATCCCACTTAAAGTTTCCTCATTGTGGATCAATTTACTCATCTGAAAAATGCAAATGGTAGTGCTGCCTTCACAGGTTTGTTGCAAGAGTTAAATGAAACTATACTCATGAGGCACACATGGTGGGGTTTAGTCCCTAGTAAGCAGAAACTAAACATGCTTACTCTTACTTCATAGACTTATAATCCCTTTGTTATGCTGGTGTGTAGCCCAGTGATAGAGGCTTGCCTAGCATGTAAAAGGCCCAGAGTTCCATCCCTAGGACTGAAAAACAAAATCCCTTTTCAGTTGTAAATCCTCAAAGAATTCTGAAGTCATTTGGTAGCCAAATATGACTATAATTGGTATTGAGCATTCAGAACTATTCCCCTTGCTCTGTATACTTACCATATGATTTCTTCTGTAGAAATGTTACCATATTTGTTTATATGAACCTAACTTGGCACTTGTAGATAGGATGGGATAGATAGTACATGCAACAAGTTAATTCACTTGAATCAAATGCAATTGCTTTTTGAGGGTGCTGAAAATGTAGCTCATTGGTAGAGGTGCTTATCATGCATTGAGGCCTTGGATTCCCCCCCTAACACAAGAAAAGTTGGCATTTTGATAGCTCAGTGAGTTCTAATGTGATATCAGAAAGGGTAATCTAAATATAGATGTGGGGCTGGTGAGCTGCTGGATGGGTGAAGGCCTTTGCCTGTAATCCTGATGACCTCAGAATTCACATGGTAGAAAGAGAATAGACTCTCATACGTTGTCCTCTGATTTTCACATGTGTGTCATGGTGTACAAGCATACACAAATAAATAAAAATATAAAACTAAGGATTTCTGCGGTGTGTTTGAGTGCTGGCAGGAAAGTGTTGAAGACTTGTACTCCCACAAACCTGTGTTCTTCTCTGCAGAGTCGTGAAGCCCCGGGTCAACTCTCTAAGGCCAAAAGGCTTAGGACTGGGTGCCAACCTGATGGAGGCCAAGGCCTTGGCCTCCACTAGCTCTCATCACCCACCAAGACCAGATGGGGATCGAGAGAAGGATAAGGAGGGGTTGATGCCTGGAGGAGCTGTGGTGATCCTTTCTGGCCCTTTCCGGGGCCTCTATGGGAAGGTAAAAACAAACATATCCCTGAAACCATGGCAGGTAGCAGGGAAGATTAATTGGAGGGGCAGAGTGAGGAAGAGTTGTGGATAGAAAGGCTGCCAGTCAAGTCAGGTATCATGGGACATGCCTGTGATCCCAACCCTCCAGAAACTGAGGCAGGAAGATCACAAATTCAAGACCTGCCTGGATTACATAATAAGTGCAAAAGCAGCCTAGTAACTTTCTGAAGTAAAATAAAAATTTTCAAAGGATAGAGATTTGGCCCAGTAGTCAGAGGCACCTAACAGGAGAAACTAAAATCGTGAGAAAGAAGCAGGCCTATAATACTAGCACTTAGACTGAAGCAGAAGAATTTCCAAGAGTTCAAGGCCAACCTGGGATACATAACAAGAACCTTTTCCAAAAATAAATAAAAACACACAACCAATCACAATACAGAGTTGTGAAGCCCAGTCCCAATAGATACATGTACAAAACATTTCTGAACCCAAAGCTCAGACCATTGCAGAAAAGGAGGCAGAAAGATTGTAAGAACAAAGGATTGAGCAGGAAATTGCTGTGAGGTTGTTGTCTCTTAGCAATATCAGAAGCTACACCCATAAAGTCTCACCAACATGACTGCCCAAACGTGAACTGATCAAGGATGACACCAATGAACATGCCAGACTGGAAGGAGAAAAACCTGTGAGGTCTCAATCCCACACAAAGAACTGAGGAAAGCTGGGAATGGGGAGAGGTGGTCTTCCCCAGGGAGAAGCACACCAGTTGGTTGTTGAGTGCCAAACAGCCCTGAAAACACATACAGGTAGCATTATATGGACTGAACAGGGTATATTTAGGGATATATATGTATATACAAATACATATATGTATGCAATAATAATTGGTAAAAAGGAGGCTATGAGCAAGGTGCTGGTGGCACACGCCTTTAATCCCAGCACTTGGGAGGCAGAGGCAGGTGGATCTCTGTGAGTTCAAGACCAGCCTGGTCTACAAGAGCTAGTTCCAGGACAGCCTCCAAAGCCACAGAGAAACCCTCTCTCGGGGGAAAAAAAGGAGGCCATGAGTTTGAAAGAGCAGGGAGGGCTATATGGGAGAGTTTGGAGGAAGGAAAGGGAAGGGAGAAATGTTGGAATTATATCATAATCTCAGAAATTTAAAGAATGTAATTAAATGAAAGGGGGGAAAGACAAAGGATAGGCATAGTAACATACTCAGGAGATTGAGGTGGTAGGATTACTGAAAACTCAGGGCTATCCTGAACTACGTTGTGAGTTCAAAGCCAGTCTTAGTTATGTAGCAAAACCATGTGTCAAAAAACAAGAGAAGGGGTTGGGGAGATGGCTCAGTGGACAAAGTGCTTACTACACAAACTTGAAGACTGGCATTCAGACCATGGAACCCACATAAAAGCCAGGAAAGTGGCAGCTGCAGGCCATTCCAGCATTCAGGAGGAAGTAAGAATCCTCAGAGCAGCCTGGCTATAGTAGCCTGAACTGGCCAGCTCCATATTTGGCAAGGGACCCTGCTTCAGGAAAGTGCAGAGCAGCTGAGGGAGACACCTGATGACAACTTTGAGCCTCTACATGTGTCTGCTTTCTGGTTTACTTTTCATCAATCTGTTCTGGTTTGCTTCTAATAATGTCAGAATCATGGCAAGCCAGTGCAATACACTGTAATACTTTCCACTTGCTGTGCTCAATTCAATATTACTGCCACTAGCAATGTGGACACCAGTTTTGGTCAATATGGCATAGTATTCTATTTCAGATTGCCTCAAAGCTGGCAGTTGGTGGTAAGGATAACCAATGTTGCTTTGCCCTGTTTTGTCATCTTCAGAGTCTGCCTGTATCCCAGCATTTATTTTTCACTTATAACAAACTAGAGCCTAGAGTTGATTGACTCCAGACACCTTTCTGTCTCTGTGGCCACCATCTTCCTCTTATGTTCAGGACAGCCCCCAACCAGAGCAGGCACCAAAATGTCCAGGGAGTGAGAAAGGAAGGAACTCCCACAATGCAAAGCTCTTCATGGTACTATTTTTCTTCATGGCCTGGTATTGCATGTCTTTAATCCCAGCATTCAGGAGTCAGAGACAGACAGATCTCTGTGAATTTGAGGTCAGCCTGATCTATATGGCGAGTTCCAGTCCAGTTAAGGTTATATAATGATACCTTGTCTCAAAATAACAAAAATAAGTGTAGGTATTTGTAGGTAAGTGTGGGTGCTCAACATTGGGTTCCCCCTAGAGCTAGATTAACAAGTGTTTGTGAGCCACCTGGCATGGATACTGGGAACTGAGCTAAGGTCCTCTGCAAGAGAAATAGTTGTCTTAACTGCTGAGCTCTCTCTCCAGCCCTATAAATCCTAATCTTACAGGCCTGCCTGGCCCACTGCTTCAGTGAGCACTCCAAAACAATTTTCTGGGCCTTTTTGGGTCTCAGTTCTCAACCAAAAGGGAGAAAATGCCATATCCCACAATTTCCATGAAACATAAGTGTTTAAAAGATGTCTGAAGCAAACATGGTGGCTTATTAATGCAAACCTAGTACCTCAGAAGCTGAAACAGGAGAATTGCTGCAAGTTTGAGTCCAACCTCAGCTACATGACAAGTACTAGTCTAGCCTGGAACCTATCTTGAAAAAAATGAGAGGTGGGGAGATGTCTCAGTGTGTGAAAATGATTGGCTAGCATGCAACCATGAGGACATGAGTTCGGATCCACAGCACCCATATAAAAACCAGGCATACATGCATCTATAACCCAAAGCTGGGGAGTAGAGACTCTAGGTAGATCTCCAGAGCTCATCGGCCAGCCAGCCTAGCTGAATCAATGAGCTCCAAGATCACTGTTTCAAAAAAAAAAAGATAAAAAAAGCATAAGGTGGAGCTAGAGAGATGGCTCAGCCATTGAGAGCACTTGCTGCTCTTCCAAAGGACCCGTGTTGATTCCCAGCACCCACGATGCAGCTCACAACTGTCTGTCACTCAAGTTCCAGGAGATCCAACCCCCACTTCTGGGCTCAGCAGACAATGGGCATACACATGACATGGTGTAGAGACACATACATGCAGGCAAAATATGCACACATGAACTAAAAATTTCAAAGAAGTAAGGTGGTTTACACCTTTAATCCCAGCACTTCAAAAGACAATGCAAGCAGATCTCTGTGAGGTTGAAGCCAGCCTGGTAAAATAGTAAGTTTCAGGCCAGTGAGCTAGCTACATAGTCTCAAAGCATAAGGTGATGAGCACTCAAGGAAGACACCTGATATGGACGTCTGTCCTCCACATACACATGCACACACCACACAAATAGTAGCTACGTGTATGTAAACACACACACACACACACACACACACACACACACGTCTTTGTTTTACATTTTGCTAAGGGAGATACAGGAACATGCCTGCTCCTGCTTCTTCTTTTTTTAAAGATTTTATTTATTTAGTATAACATTTTGCTTCTTTGTATATCTGCACACCAGAAGAGGGCATCAGATCTCAATACAGATGAGTGTGAGCCACCATGTGGTTGCTGGGAATTGAACTCAGGACCTCTGGAAGAGCAGCAAGTGCTCTTAACCTCTGAACCGTCTCCCCAGCCCCCTACTCCTGTTTCTTAGGAGTTATAGTTTTAGTAGAGATAAAGGAACCATGCATGGTCCTAGCCATAACAGGTCACAGCATACAGTTGGGCTTTAATCCCAGCACTCAGAGACTGGTGGATTTGAGTTATAGGCCAGCCAGGGCTACATAGTGAGAACCTCTATCCAAAAACAAAGCAAACAAGGTAAGAGAGACACAGAGAGCTCAAACCTATTAGAGGTAAGGGCTGGACATTTTAGAACTAGCAGCTGTAGTCCATTCACCCTCTGCCTTATCCCTACCTCCCACCTTAGGTAGAAGGCCTTGATCCTGACAATGTACGGGCCATGGTTCGGCTGGCAGTAGGTAACCGCATTGTGACTGTTAGTGAGTATTGCCTACAACCTGTTTCCCAGCAGGAGTTTGATAGCCACGCCTCACAGCCAGGTGAGACTCATTGGTGGAAACTTGGGAAGCATGGTGTCAGGCAGGCTTTCTCTATATCTGGAGGAAGGAAAAGCAGTGTGGGACTTCCAGTCAGAGGTCAGGCATGAGAAGGGACAAGACTAGTTTATTCATTTTTTTGTTTGTTTGGTAGTGCTGGGAATAGAACCCAGAGCCTTGACACTGTTACCACAGAGCCACATCCCCAAACTAGTTTGTTCAGTTTGAGAAGTGCTTGATCTAGTACCCTGCATCTTCATCCTCTCTAAGCAGCAAGAAATGGGTATGGAAAGCAATTCCTACCCGCAGGAGGTCCATTTGTATTTGGAGTGATGGTCCTCTCTTTTGCCAGATAGGAGACTAGGGTTGGGGTGTGAGCAAAGGAGAGGCAGACAGAACAGTAATGGTTGTAGGGCCGCTCGCTTAGAGGTCCTTGCGGCTCTTCCCCTCTGCTATGAACGCCAGGCAGTTGACTCTGCTGTGTCTTTGCTGTGGGCTGGGTGCTTGAGAGGAGCTTCCTGAAGGAGGTGGATGGGAAATGGGGCCTTTGCCAGGAGAACAATGACCCTTGAGAGGAAGTGCTGGTGAGACTTTCTCCTTGATGTCCCTATACCCCCTTGAACAGGCCACGTGAGCAAACCTTCCACAGAGCAGCAGAGCAGAACAACTGGAACAGCCTGGTCTTCGAAGGCCCTCCAGAATCAGGAAGACTCAAAGAGGAGGCAGAAGGATTCAGAGAGGAAGCGGAAACACTCCGCAGACCGGTAGGAGCCTGGGCAGGAGCCCAGGCCTCTGGGATTTCAGAAGAAGGCAAGGTATGGGGTGGCTCAAGCAGTCAGGGAAAACTTCCAAGGCAAGGCAGGGCAAAGAAGGAACTGGGAACAGCAATAGGGGTGGGTTTTCCAGCATGCCCTTTAAAGATAGGTTGGCTTTAACATGGGTGTGACAGAAATGTAATCCAGATGCTGGCTTTCTCCACAGGCAGGATGAACCTGTGGCAAAGAGTGAGAAAGCAACCTCTAAGAACAAGCATTGGCTACACAGGGACTTACGTGTACGCTTCATTGACAAACTGTACAAGGGTGGCCGGTATTACAACACCAAGGTATGAACCCCACAAACTGAGTCCCCTTCCTCGCCCAGGGACTTGGCGCTTTACCTTTGTGACATCTTTCTTCCTTGTCATTCTTCTCTAGATGACAATTGAAGATGTCCTGAGCCCAGGTACTTGTGTGTGTCGGACAGATGAAGGCCGAGTTCTAGAAAGTAAGTCTGAGCCACTATACCTGGGATGTTCCCATCCTAGAAGATGATAAAGAATGGGTCTATGGCCTGGAGAGATGACTCAGAGGTTAAGAGCACTGGCTGTACTTCCAGAGGTCCTGAGTTCGATTCCCAGCAATCACATGGTGGCTCACAACCATCTGTAATGAAATCTGGTGCCCTCTTCTGGCCTGCAGGCATACATGCCGGCAGAAATATATATATATATATGGGGTGAAAAAAGAAAGGGTATATTCCAGGGGCTAGAGAGGTGGCTCAGAGTAGTTAAGAGCACTGGCTGATCTTCCAAAGGACCCAAGTTCAATTCCAAGCAACCACATGGCAGCTCAGAACTGTCTATAACTCCAGTTTCAGAGAATCTGATGCCCTCATCTGACATCAGTGAGCAACAGACACACACATGGTGCCACAAACATACATGCAAGCAAAACACACATGCACATAAAATAAATCTAAAAAATATTTTTCAGAAGAAAGAAGGGGGCTGGAGAGATGGCTCAGCCCTTAAAGACTAGGCTCACAACCAAAAAATATAAGAAGAAAGAAAGGATCCATTCTAGTACTTGAGGCTGTCAATATTCCCACAAGTCCAAAGTCAACCTGGACTAAAGTGGTGTAAGATCCCGTTTTAAGGGCTGGAGAGATGGCTCAGCAGTTAAGAGCACTCACTGTTCTTCCAGAGGTCCTCAGTTCAATTCCCAACAACCACATGGTGGCTCACAACCACCTTGAATGAGATCTGGTGCCCTCTTCTGGCATGCAGGCAGAAGACTGTATACATAATAAATTTTAAAAAATCTTTAAAAAAAAAAAGATGCTGTTTTAAAAAGAAAAGCAGAAGCCAGGCATTGGTGGCGCACACCTTTAATCCCAGCACTTGGGGAAGCAGAAGCAGGCAAATATCTGTCTACAGAGCGAGTTCCAGGGCAGCGAAGGCTACACAAAGAAACCCTGTCTTGAACACCCTCCCCCCCAAAAATAAATGGAGGGAGGGAGGGAAGGGAAGAATAAGGAATGGGATCTGAGGCCAAGAGCTGGGAAGTTGGGCAGGGTTCAGGTTCTCTGCAAGGCCCAGCATCCTCTTCCAGAGCAGATACTTCCTTGACAGGAATTACCCAAACCCTATGTATTTTCTGTGTCAGATTAGTGTTAAAATGACTATTTGTCCCTGTCAAAACTATTGCCTTTGCAGGAAGAAGTGTATTGAGCTCACACTGCAGGGCAGACTGAGAATATGCCCAGTAAATAGTTTTGTAGGAAAATGTTCCTGTATGGTAGCTATTTCTATGAATTACTCATTGGTTTTCTCACCTGTGAAATGGGTAGAGTGGGACTCTATCAAAAGAATATAAGAATAGCTCTACTGGGTGGTAGCAGTTTACACCTTTAATCCCAGCACTCGGGAGGCAGAGGCAATTGGATCTCTGTGAGTTCAAGGCCAGCCTGGTCTATAGAGCAAGTTCCAAGACAGCCAAGGCTACACAGAGAAACCCTGTCTTGGGGTGGGGGTGGGAGTATCTCTAATAAATATTAGCAAAGGCCCTCCTGACAGGATCAAGCCAGACTGGCCTTTTCTGTGAACCTCATTCCCCTCTCCCTCATCTGCAGGCGTGAGAGAAGACATGCTGGAAACCCTGATTCCCAAGGGAGAGGGCCGTCGTGTGATGGTGGTGCTGGGAAAACACACTGGAAAGGTGAGTTCCTATGCCTGGGAATGAGTGTGGAGATCACTGAGGATCTGGGCCGACTTTGCTAACTCTCTACCCCATCTCTCCTCAGGTGGGACGACTTCTGAGTCGGGACAGTGTCAAGAGTCAGGGTTTGGTACAACTTGGGAGAGACAATCAGGTGGTGGAGCTCCACTATGACGCTATCTGCCAGTACGTGGGCCCCAGTGACTCAGATGAAAACTGACATGTGGACCACTGCTGTCACCCAGGCTGTCACTATTGTGTAGCAATCTACAGCAGCTGCCATGGAGAAGATAATTGTTTTGTCCTCCTTTGAGCTGCAAGGACAGGGACATGAGTAGATAGACCAAACTGTCTACCAAAATTTAGAGTGTATAATAAAAACCATTTTTAAAAGTGGAAAGGTGAAATCAAAACCAATATGTGAGCTTTGAATTTAGTTGGGAACTGAGATGACTGAGGTAGAAACGCCTTCATTTCTTAGTCTCATTTCCCTGCTCAGAGTTCAAGACAAGTTAAATTGCCTATCCAATACAGAGCTCACTCGTGGAGCATAGAAACTGTGAAATCTGCCCCCAAACAAACACTATAGAATCTCCAGTGCTACATCTCAGAACAGCTTCTGTTTGGATCTTGAATGGCTTTCAAAGGCCCATATCTTTCTTTTTAAATGTATTATTTTTAGTTATATATATGTGTGTGCCTGTGTGAGTGTGTGTGATTATGAGTACAAATACTTTAACCAAAAGTGTTAAGTCCTCTGGAGCTGAAGTTACAGGCAATTGCAAGCTGCCAGACATGGGTGCTAGGAACCAAACTTGGGTCCTTTGAAAGAGCAGCAAGCACTCTTCACCACTGAGCCATCTCTCCAGCTCATATATCTGTATCTTAAAGGATTCTTGCCCAGGATTCAGCACCTATTTTTGACCTTTGAAAGATAAAGGCCTAGTAGAAATTACTTAGGTTATGACTTAGAAACCTCCAAAACTGTGAACCAAAATAGACTTTTCCTCCTTATACTTTAATTATATCTGGGTAGTTTGTCAGAGTAAGGGGAAACTGACTACTGCTCTCAGTGAACTCTAGGACAATTTCTTGCTTGCCCTAGGTGACTGTGTTCTAAGCCTTTTCCCTGCTTAATGGCCCAAGATAATCAGCAAGAGAAGTCACAGCCTTAGACACAATTGCTTCTAAATCATCCTTGAAGCTTAAGTCATTCATGCAGTAAATGGTAATTGACTTAGGTCTGGGCCACAGGTAAAACTACCTAGTCTGTTATCCTGTTGCACACTGAAAAGAATCAGAGCATCCCAGAATAGGATGATAAAGAGATGGCACTCAGTGTGTGTCTACCATATGTAAAGCCTTGTGTGTTCCATCCACAGTACCACCAGGAAAAAAGGGAACCAGAGGCAAACTGAACTCTGACAAAAATGAAAAAATATAAAAAGACTTGAGTCACCAAGTGTGGTAGCCCATATCTGTCATCTATCACTTGAAAGGCCGAGACAGGAAGATTCGCGTGAGTTCTAGGACAGTCTAAGCTTCATCAAAAGACCCTTTCTTCAAAAACTAAAAAAACAAACAGTAAATGTGCTGGGTGTGATAGCATACACTGTTGATCCCAGCACTCAAGAGGCAGAGGAAGGCAGATCTCCATGAGTGTAAGGCCAGCCTGGTCTACAGGGCAAGTTCCAAGTCAGTCAGGGCTACATAGTAAGAGCCTGTCTCAAAATAGAAATAAGGGGAGTGTGGCTTTTCTCCTTCCTATTATCCCTTTTGTGTCTCTTGTCTAATTGCTATAGCAAAGACTTTGACACTGTATAAAATAAGATAGGGGCAAGTGGGAATCTTTCCTTATCTCATTCCTGATTTTAGAGGAAATGCTCAGTATGCCTCCATTTAATATATGTTGGCTATAATATAATGTTGGTTTATTGTATATAGCCTTTATTATTTTGAGGTATTTTCCATCTATTCCTACAGATTCCAGAACATTTATCACAAAAACATGTTGAACTTTGTCAAATGTGTTTTCAGCATTGACTGAAATAATTAATGTGATGTCTGTCCTTGAGTTTGTTTATATGATGTATTCATTCCATTTACTGATTTATGTATGTTGAAACCACTTTGTCTTTCTGGGATGAAGCCCACTTGGTCATAATGTGTGTGATCTGCTCAATGTATTCCCGAATTCAGTTTGTAAGCATTTTCTTAAGAATTTTTGCATCTTTGTTCATCAAAAAATTGGTCGGTGGTTTTCTTTCTTTCTTTTCCTCTTCCTTCTCTTCTTCTTGCCTTTACCTGGTTTTGGTATCAAGATGATTGTGTCTTCTTGATGACATGATTCTTCACCTAAAAGATCCTATTGAGCCTGCTAGGAAACTCATGGACTTAATAGACACTTAAGAGTAGGTTATAGCCGGGCGTTGGTGGTGCACGCCTTTAATCCCAGCACTCGGGAGGCAGAGGCAGGCAGATCTCTGTGAGTTCGAGGCCAGCCTGGTCTCCAGAATGAGTGCCAGGATAGGCTCCAAATCTACACAGAGAAACCCTGTCTCGAAAAACCAAAAAAAAAAAAAAAGAGTAAGTTATAGGATACAAAGTCATTATTAAAAACAGCCTTTCAGCATTCAGAAGTCAGAGGTGGACAGATCCCTGTGAGTCCACGTCTCTATGTAGTCCTGTGGTCTACATAGAGAGTTCCAGGTTAGTCGGGGTTGCATAGTGAGACCATCTCAAAAAAAAAAAAACCAATAGGTAGGCTTTATTTATGCTAACAGGCTATTCTCTAAGAAAGAAAATAGGGAACATATTCCTTTCAAAGTAGGTCCTCCAAAAATAAGTATTTAGGAATAAATTTAATCAAAGAAGTGAAAAACCTCTACAAAGAAAATTTCAAGATATTAAACAAATCACAGAAGATACTAGTTAATGGAAAATTATTCCATATTTCAGGATAGACAGAATTAACATTGTGAAAATATCTATACTACCAAAATTAATTTACAGAATTTATGCAGTACCTATCAGAACCTATGCAGTACCTATGTCATAGTTTACAGGTTTAAAAAAACAATTCATATGAAACCACAAAAGATTATGTACAGTCAAAGCAACTATGCCAAACCTACCAAACATCAATTACACTACAGAGCTGTGGTGGATAAAGACAGCCTGGTACCCGAAAAAAAAATAGACAGACCAATAAAATAGAATACAGGACCCAGAAATAAAATGGCTAAGCTACCCCCACTTCTTTATTTTTTTAAGATTTTATTTATTATGTATGCAACATTCTGCTTCCATGTGCCCAGAAGAGGGCACCAGATCTCTTAATGGATGGTTGTGAGCCACCACGTGGTTGCTGGGAATTGAACTCGGGACCCTTGGAAGAACAGTCAGTGCTCTTAACATCTGAGCCATCTCTCCAGCCCCACTCTTTATTATTATTATTATTATTTTGGTTTTTCGAGACAGGGTTCCTCTGTGGCTTTGGAAGCTGTCCTGGAACTAGCTCTTGTAGACCAGGCTGGTCTCGAACTCACAGAGATCCGCCTGCCTCTGCCTCCCGAGTGCTGGGATTAAAGGCGTGCGCCACCAACGTCCGGCTCCACTTTTTTATTTTTATATTTTTATTTTTTGTTTGTTCTTTTTTTCTGAGACAGAGTTTCTCCGTATTGCTTTGGAGACTGTCCTGGAACTCACTCTGTAGACCAGGCTGGCCTCGAACTCACAGAGAGCCACCAGAGTGCTGGGATTAAAGGCATGCACCACCACTCCTGGCCCAAAGAACTTTTTTGAATAGAGCACAGGAACTAACCCAAACTATCAACAAATGAGACTGCATGAAAATGAACATTTTCTATACAGCAAAGGGAACAGTGGGCAGAGCCAACAGCATAGTGAACAGAAGAAAATCTTAACTAGCTACACCTCAGACAAGGTTCACATATCCAGAATTTACAGAGAACTGCAGAAATTAAATACCAAGGAAACAAAACTGCCAGTCCTCAAATGAGAAAGTGAACTGAACAGACAATTTAAAATACAAATGAGCTGGGCATGGTGACACATACCTTTAATCCCACCTAGCACTTGGGAGGCAGAGGCAGGTGGATTTTCTGAGTTGAAGTTTACCCTGGTCTACAGAGTGAGTTCCAAGACAGCCAAGGCTACACAGAGAAACCCTGTCTTGACCCCCCCCAAAAAACCCTACTTTGAGATATCACCTCACCCCAGTCAGAATGGATATCAATAAATCTGACAACCAGTGTTGGGAAGGGTGTGGAGAAAAGGAACCCTTATTCACTATTGGTGGTGGTGCAAGTTAATAAGGTCATTGGAAATCATTTTGGAGACTTCTCAAAGAACTAAAAAATGGAACTGCTATATGAACCAGCTATTTCACTCCTAGGCATATACCCAGATAACTCAGTACCCTACCATAGAGATATTAGCACCCCAATGTTTATTACTGCTTTAATTACTATAGCAAAGAATGGACTTCATCTGGTTGTCCATTAACAGATACACACAAAACAAATTTTCATTAGCCATATATTAAAAAATGGAATGCTAGCCAGGCGGTGGTGGTGCACGTCTGTAATCCCAGCGCTCAGGAGGCAAAGGCAGGCAGATCTCATTGAGTTCGAGGCCAGCCTGGACTACAAAGTGAGTTCCAGGACAGAGAAACCCTGTCTTAAACCCCCCAAAAAGGAATGTTATTCAGCTGTAACAAAAGAGTTAAATATTTGCAGGAAAATGGATGGACATAGAATATATGTTAAATGAGTTCATACAATCTCAGAAAAGATGCATGTTCTCATATTTAGAATGTTGCCAATAATATATACATAAACAAATGTACACATGGGATACAGTATAACACAGAAAAGAACAAGAAGATCAAGTATGAAGGAATGGGAAAGACTGAATACAGGTAATGGACATGAGTTATGAAAGAAGATATGAAGCTAATTGCTGGTGGTTTTTTTTTTTTTTTACATCTATAGGTGTTTTGGCTGCATTTGTGTCTGTGCACCACGTGAGTGCTTATAGAGGCCAGAAGAGTTACCATGTGGATGCTAGGGATGAACCCAGTCCTTTGGAAGAGCAGCCAGTGCTCTTAACTGCTGAGCCATCTTTCTAGCACCCATTGTTACAATTTGTGTTGTATCATTTTTTTTGACGAAGGGTCAAGACAGGGTGTTGTGGAACTCTAAAAACTAGTGTGTCCTCAAAAATCTCTGCCCCCCTCCACCGTGAGTACTGGGATTAAAGGCGTGTGCCACTATGCGGGGCTCAGGATTGTTACTGTTTTTTTGGGGGGCGCGGGTTCGAGACAGGGTTTCTCTGTGTAGCCTTGGCTGTCCTGGAACTCACTCTGTAGACCAGGCTGGTCTACTCACAGAGATCCGCCTGCCTCTGACTCCCGAGTGCTGGGATTAAAGGCGTGCGCCACCAACGCCCGGCATTACTTTTATGAAATATTTTAGCAAGGTTTAGCATTCTTCCAAGCCCCTCCCCACCCTCGTCGGTCACTCCTGCAATCCTAGCACTCTGCAAGTCAGCAGGAGGATCTCACTGAGTTTTAGGTCAATCTGGCCAACACAGTATGTTCGAAGCCAGCCTGGACTATATACAGTGTGCGACCCTGTCTCAAAAATAAAAACCCAGTCGCCCCACCAAGTTTCCCCTGTCAAATCTTAGTATCTCATGACTACCCACCCTAAGAATTTGTGCTCAGGGAAGTGTCCACCTCCAAGCCTGTGACGCTAGCACGGCTCGAACCACTGCGTGAGACCCAAGGGGCGCCGGCTCGAGACCCGCCGGACTGAACCACAGGGGTATCGGCGGGGGGGGGTGGACTCGGGAGCGGAGCGGCCGCCGGGCGGAGGGCGGCCATCTTGGAACGTTCCACGTGCCGAGGGTGGAGCAGCGAGGAAAAGGGCGAAGCGGCGTCTGGCCCGCAAACGGGCGCCAGTCCGCTCGCCCCGGAACCCCGTCCTGGCCTGCTTTCTGTCACTCGCTGCTGGCGGATGGCAGTATCGAGTCAGCGGGACGCCTCTATCCCACCCACCACGTTCAGCCGCTTTCCCGTGACCCCTCCAATCTTTCCGTTTGGAACCTGCTCCCAAGGCCCTCGCGCAGGCCATTGGCTCAGGAGCTGCCCTGCTGGGCTCTGATTGGTCAAGGGCCGACTCCGTCTGCGGCTTTCTGAGGCTGCGTGCAGGACCTGGGAATAGCGTAGCTCCGCCTCCGCCCTTGCACCAGATTTCCGGAACTGCTTCGAGGCATGCGCAGTGGTTGTGGCCAGTGGCTACATCCAAAGTGGCATCGGGCCAAAGCAGGCTTTAAGGACCTGGAGTCCTGGATTCAAATACCACCTCAGTGTGTAAAATTGGTCGCGGGTAAAATGTCAGCAGAGGGTACTTGTTCACTGTCGGAGGTTAGTGAGATCGCACACCAGTTCATGGCGCTTCCATCATAACAATTTTTTTAGATCAAAAGTTATCAATGTTATTGTGCATACTGGTGCATGCCATTAATCCCAGCACTAGGTAGGCAGAGCCAGGCTGATTTTCGAGTTCTGGGTCATCTTGGTTTACATAGTTCCAAACCAAACAGGGGTGCATGGTGTTAGATACAGGCAATAAATAATCTCAGCCTTGCACAAAAGAACACTCAAAGGGAAAGTAAAGTAGCTAGGTAAGGTAAGTCTTGGGGGAGAGGGTGGCAAAAGGAGTATTCCCCCTTTAATTATGCTTTTTTATTTCAAACTTAGCAAGCATACATTGATCATTCGAAGTCTCTAGTAGCAGTACATTACTGTTATAAGTCATGGCTTAAACGTGGTTTAAGGCAGTGGATCTCAACCTTCCTAACACTGCAACCCTTCAATATACTGTTAGTTCCCCATGCTGTGCTGACCCCCAACCATAAAATTATTTCCCTTGCCACTTCCTAACTGTAATTTTGCTACTGTTATGGATCCTTCTGTAAATATCTGTGTTTTCTGATGTTGTTAGGTCACCCCTGTAAAAGGGTGGTTCCTCACCCCCTAGGGGTCACAGCCTATGGGTTGACAACCACTGGCTTAAGATATGTATACCTACTAAAGGGTAGTTCCTGGATCAAGCTATTGAGCTGACCCAACTGGAATATGAAGTTTTCACCCTGTCCAAAACTTTTATTCTCTTGACTAGAGATTTGTCTTTACAAGCCTTTAGTGCTATTTTACTCTTCTCCCCTCTGGAAGGGTCACTCTAGAATTGTTTAGGAGCCAGATTAGAGATCAGGTTTCCCAAAACACGTTGGTATATCTGATCTTGGACAAGGAAGAAGCTGCCAAGAGGACCAGACAATTTGGGCTTTTAGCCAAAAAAGGTGTATACTTTTCCTGGAGGCCTTTTTACCTTAAAGTGTCCAGCCAATTCCTACCTCCTCCTTAAGAGGTGCCCCTAATAGCCATTATGGGATTGGGATGATGACTGATCTGGTTTTCTCCAGATGAATTTTCAGTGTCTGATATGGCATTTTGAGGGTACTCTTCCAGGGGGCCTATCAAAAAAATCCCAACTGTCAGATGTAGGCAGGAAAGGAAGGCCTTAACAGATGCCAGGGAAGAGATGTGAGGGACAAGTAAAGGCAAGAGTTAGGATAGGCAGCAAATCCAACCCAGATCTGTTGGAAGAGGAGCCAATGCTCTAAAGACTGAGCCATCATCCTGAAAACCACAAAACATACATGTTTAGAAATGCATATTATTTTGTGTATATGTGTGTTTTGCCTGCCTGTATGTCTGCATATCACATGTATGCAGAGCCCCCAGAGACCAGAAGAGGGCATCAGATACCCTGAGACTGGAATTACAGTTGTGAGTCACCGTGTGGGTACTGGGGATAAAAACTGGGTACGAAGAGCAGCCAATGCTCTTAACCAGTAAGCTAGCACTCCAGCCCCCATACATAGTTTTTGTTTGTTTGAGGCAGGGTCCTACTATGTAGCCCTGGGTGGCCTCAAAACTCAGAGGTCTATTTACTTCCATTTCCAGAGTCTAAGGCCAGTACCACCATGCCTGGCTCTCTACTTTGTTTGAGATAGGATCTCTTACTAGACTGGAGTTCGTCACTTGTCTAAGTGGTGGGCTACTGATTCCCTGGGATTCTCCTGTCACAACTGCCACCTCCCACCACTGGGATTATAGATGTACTACTCTGCCCAAATTTTACATGTGGGGATCTGAACTCAGGTCCCTGTGCCTGCCCATCAGGCACTTTACCCATTGACACATCTCCACACCCATTTAAATTTTGTTTTATTTTTTTCAAGATTTTATTTATTATGTATACAGTCTTCTGCCTGCATGCCAGCAGAGGGCACCAGATCTCATTCAGGGTGGTTGTGAGCCACCATGTGGTTGCTGGGAATTGAACTCAGGACCTCTGGAAGAACAGTCAGTGATATTAACTGCTGAGCCATCTCTCCAGCCCCTTGATTTATTTTTCAATGTGTATTATGGATGCTTTGCTTGTATGTCTGTGTGTGCACAACTTTCATGCCTGGTGCCAGGAAAGGCCATTGAATCCCCTGGAACTGGAGTTACAGACAGTTGGGAGATTCCCTGGTACACTGAAACTCGAGCCCTCTGGAAGAGTGGCCAGTGCTCTTAAATGCTGAGCCATTTCTCCAGTCCAACAACACCGGGGATTTTGTTTGTTTTTGGTTGTTTTTTTTCCTTTGGTTTTTCAAGATGCAGAGCCCCCAGAGACCAGAAGAGGGCATCAGATACCCTGAGACTGGAATTACAGTTGTGAGTCACCATGTGGGTACTGGGGATAAAAACTGGGTACGAAGAGCAGCCAATGCTCTTAACCAGTAAGCTAGCACTCCAGGTTTCTTTGTATAACAGCTTTGGCTGTCCTGGAACTAGCTCTGTAGACCAGGCTGGCCTCGAACTCACAGAGATCTGCCAGTCTCCCAAGTGCTGGGATTAAAGGCATGAGCCTCCACTGCCTTAAACACAGTTTTTTGTTTTTGTTCTTTTAAACAGGGTCTCTTGAAGTCCAGGCTTACCTCAGCTGAGGTAACTGAGGCTGGCCTTGAACTGTCAATTCTCAGACTTTATCTCCAAAATGCTGGGATTGCAACTTGAATCAGCATGCCCAGTTACCCTGATACTTTTTCTTTTGAGACATGGTCTCACTTTGTAACCCTGGCTGGCTAGTTGAATGTGGACCAGGATGGCCTGGAAATTGTGACAATCTTCTTGCCTCTCTGCCTCCTGTGCTCGAATCATAAGCATGAGATATCATGCCCAGCTGCTCCTGCTATCTTGAGGAGCACCTTAGGAATCATGAGTGTTCTCCTGGGTTTAGGATCAAGGCTAATTGTCCCCTTCTGCACAGGCTTAAACTCCGGCAGCTCCAGGCGCTAGTGGATGCATGCACGCCCTCTGCTGGCGATAGGGAGGCCAAGGTACATCGTTCTGGTAATCTTTGTACCACATTGCGCCTGCGCGGCAAAACAACAAAAGCCCATTTACTGGGGCTGTAGCCGCCTGTGGGTTTGGGTAGGCAAAGAGCAGCATTTTGGGAGATGAGGCCCGAGGTTGTTAGTTAGGTTCCTAGGTAGGGCAAGTGGGTATACCTCAGGACAAAAGGCTGCAATGGTTCTCCAGCTTCCTAATGCTGCGACCCTTTAATACAGTTTCTCAAGTTATGGTGACCCCAACCATAAAATTATTTTCTTTTTTTCTGTTTTTTTTTTTTTGAGACAGGGTTTCTCTGTATTGCTTGGAGCCTATCCTAGAACTCTACTTATCTATCTATAATTTATACAGTTGTTAATATTGAGAAACGAAGGTTGTGGTTTTTTGGCCTGGAACTCATGACAATCTCCTGCCTAAGCCTCCTGTGTTAGAATCACAGGTTTGAGCACCAGGCCCAAAACATGTTCTGACAATCGTCTATCACAGAAACTCTAAAGCAGCAGCCCTGAACCTGTGGGTCGAGACCCCTTTGGCAAACCTCTGTCTCAAAAAATATTTACACAAGCATTCATAACAGTAGCAAAATGACAGTTATGAAATAACAATGAAAATAATTGCTGGACATTCATTGGTGGCACATGCCTTGAACCCCAGCACTCCGGAGGCAGAGGCAGAGATAGGCGGATCTCTATGAGTTCCAAGCCAGCCTGGTCTACAGAGCAAGTTCCAAGACAGCCAGCATTGTTACACAGAGAGACCCTGTCTCAAAAGGGGAGGGGGTCTCTGGTGATATAGAACAGTGGTCGAGTTTGTGTTAGGATGGGAGTGGCACTAATTTCAAACAAAACAAATTCTGGGTTTTATTTACATATTTTTCAGATTTATGTGTATGAATGTTTTGTCTGCATGTAGGTATATGAACCATATGCATGCCTGATGCCTTCAGAGGAAGGCAGAGGGGGTCAGATCTCCTGGAATTGGGGTTGTGAGCCACCATGTGGGTGCTGGGAAAAGAACCCAAGTCCTCTGCAAGAACAAGAAATACTCTTAACTGCTGAGCCATCTCTCAGCCCCAAATTGTGTTTAAAACTTATTTTTAGCTGGCAGCAGTGGCGCATGCCTTTAGTCCCAGCACTCAGGAATCAGAGGCAGGCGATCTCTGTGAGTTTGAGGCCACCCTGGTCTACAGAATGAGTTCCAGGACAACCTCCAAAGCAATACAGAGAAACTCTGTCTCAAAAAAAGACTTATTTTTTTCTTTTTTGGTTTTTGGAGACGGGGTTTCTCTGTGTAGCTTTGGAGCCTGACCTGGAACTCATTCTGTAGACCAGGGTGGCCTCAAACTCACAGAGATCCCCCTGCCTCTGCCTCCCGAGTGCTGGGATTAAAGGCGTGTGCTAGCAACGCCAGCTAAGACTTATTTTTAAGTGTGTGTGTGTGTGTGTGTGTGTGTGTGTGTGTGTGTGTGTGTGTGTGTGTGTGTGTACACATATGTGGGTGGGTGTGTACATATGTGGGTGGGTGTCTAAGGGGATATCAGATGGTTGTGAGCTACCTGATATAGGTGCCATAACTGCATGAATGCATTCATCTTCACCTTTGAATCATTTCTCTAGCTTCTGTTTCCTTGATTTTTTGTTTGTTTTTGTTTTTGAGACAGGGTTTCTCTGTAGCTTTGGAGCCGATCCTGGAACTCTGTAGACCAGCCTGGCCTCAAAGTCACAGATAACTGCCCGCCTCCGCCTCCGCCTCCGCCTCCGCCTCCGCCTCCAGTGCTGGGTTTTGAAGCTGGGTGTGGTAGCCCACACCTGTAGTCCCAGCACTCCTGAGGCAGAGGCAGTCAGATGTCTGTGAACTCCAGTCCAGCTTGGTTTACTTTACAAAACAAGTTCCAGGAGAGTCAGGATTGTTACACAGAGAAACACTGCCTCAAGAAAGAGAAAAAGCAAAACAATATAGAAACCAAGGACCCACATGAAAGGAGGGAACTGACTCCAAAAAGTTGTTTTCTGACCTTCACACATACTCTGTAACAAGTACACCCCCCACATACAAAAATGTAAATTTTAGTTTTTGTTTGTATGAATTTTTTGCTTGCATGCATATCTGCACATCACATTCATCTAGTGAGTGCTGTTGGAGTCCAGTAAAGGGTATGAGATCCCTGGGGACTGAATTTACAGACAGTTGTGAGCTGCCATGTGGGTGCTGAGAATCAAACCTGGGTCTTCTGGAAGAGCAGCCAGTGCTCTTATCCAATGAGTCATCCCTTCAGCCCTGTAAAATATTTTCAAAAAACAAAAATAAAGCCAGAAGTGTGGTGGTGTACGCTTTTAATCCCAGCACTCAGAAGGCATGAGGCCTACATTGTGAGTTCCAGGACAGCCAGAATTACAAAAAGATACCATATCCCCCCAAATAAATACATAAATGAATGAGTAAATAAATAAATGACACACACAGAGGAGGGGAGACTGTTTAATAGGCTGATATACACACACATACATATATCATTTTTTTCTGAGACAGGGTTTCTCTGTATTGCTTTGGAGCCTGTCCTGGCTATATATCATTTTTAAAAATCATAATGATATTCAATCTTGTACATTTAAGGAATTCCTGCAAAACCTTTTGTTTTGTTTTGTTTTTTGAGACAGGGTTTCTCTGTGTTGTTTTGGAGGCTGTTCTCCAACTTGCTCTATAAAGTAGGCTGGTCTCAAACTCACAGAGATCTGCTTGCCTCTGCCTCAGGAGTGTGCCACCAAATTTGTGTGCAAATTTGTGTGCAAAACAATTTTCAAAGGACAGCAATCCCAAGATAAAAATGGTCAGAGGATATTATCAGGCAGTGTCCTAGTTTCCTTTCTACACATGACAATGAGAACTTCTAAAGGAAAAGGGTATGTCTGGCTTACATTTACAGGTTACACTCCATCATAGCAGTGAAGTCAAGGCAGCTGGGATTGGAGGCAGTGAAACCAACTGTCAAAAGCATAAAGAGAGTGAACACATAATATTGATGATACAATGTATTAATGCAGGTGTTCACCTTGGGGTTTCTCTCTTCTTTTTTTAAGATTTATTTATTTATTTATTTATTTATTGCCAGGAGGTAATGGCACACGCCTTTAGTCCCAGCACTCGGGAGACAGAGGCAGGAGGATCCCTGTGAGTTCGAAGCCAGCCTGTTCTACAGAGTGAGTTCCAGGACAGTTTCCAAACAAAAGCAACAGAGAGAAACACTGTCTCGAAAAAAAAAAACAAAAAAGATTTATTTTGTAATTATGTATGCACTGTTCTGTCTGCATGTATCCCTGCAGGCCAGAAGAGGGCACCAGATCTCAATACAGATGACTGTGAGCCACCATATGGTTGCTGGGAATTGAACTCAGGACCTTTGGAAAGGCAGCTACTTCTCTTAACCTTTCAGTTATCTCTTCATCACCTCTCTTTCTTTTTTAAATACAGTTTGGCATCCAAATCTAGGGAACAGTGACACCCAGAATGGGCTGTGTATTCCCACATCAATTAATGCACTGAAAACAATCCCCCAGACATGCCTACAGGCCAACCTGAACTAGATAGTCCCTCATTGGTAACTCCCTTCCCATGTGACTCTAGATTGTGTCAAGGTGACAATACTAATCATTGCAGGCACTTTTAGAAAAGACAAAACCCCCAACAACAATCATGTACGACAGGTTGTTCCAATTAGATGAACAGACAAATGTACTTTATACAAACCACTAGCCGGGCGTTGGTGGTGCACGCCTTTAATCCCAGCACTCGGGAGGCAGAGGCAGGGGGATTTCTTTTGAGTTCGAGACCAGCCTGGTCTACAAGAGTTAGTTCCAGGACAGCCTCCAAAGCCTCAGAGAAACCCAGTCTCGGAAAAAAAAAAACAAAAACAAACAAACAAAAAACCACAAACCACTTAATGCCTATTTGTCTGGAGAGTCTATATAAGCTAGAAAATTCTCAAAGAGATCAGCAAGATCCAGAATGGAGGAGGGGACACTACTTCAAGAAAACAAAAGTTTCTCTCTTTTTTTGTTTTTTTTCAAGACAGGGTTTCTCTGTGTAGCTTTGGAACCCATCCTGGCACTCACTCTGGCGACCAGGCTGGCCTTGAACTCACAGAGATCCTCCTGCCTCTCCCTCCCAAGTGCTGGGATTAAAGGCGTGCACCACCAACGCCCGGTGTAAACAAAAGTTTCTATGTAAAAGAAACACTGTCTTGCCAGGAAATGGTGGTGGCCTACGCCTTCAATCCCATCACCCAGGAAGCAGAGACCAGCAGATCTCTGTGAGTTCCCATGGTCTACAGAGAAAAGAGAGTGAGGAGGAGGGAAAGGAAGGAAGAAGGAATGTCTCTATGTTGACAACCATTACAGAACACTAGCCTGTGCTAGAGTCTTCCTTGATTTTCAGTTGGTAAACTTCTTCAACCACATTATAGAAGGTCCCTTTATTTCTTTATTCTTACTTATGTGTATGTGTAGGTAGGTACATGCCGAGTGAGTACAGATGCCCTCAGAGGCCAGAGAAGGGCATCAGACCCCCTGGGGCAGAGTTACAGGTGGTTGTGAGCTGCATGTGGGTGCTGGGAACCCAACTCAAGTCCTCTGGATAAGGACCAAGTGCTCTTAACCTCTGAACCATCTCTCCAGCCCCTAAAAGGACTCCTTTTCTTATATTTTTGGTTGTGAGCCTAGCCTTTAACGGCTGAGCCATCTCTCCAGCCCAAGGACACCTTTTCTTACCCCAGTCCCAGTACTTTTTCCTCCTACCTCAGTGGGATGAGGGTCAGGAGTTCAAGGTCTCAGAGAAAAACTGAGCCTGCCCACATAATTCAGCCATCTGAGATTAGTGCCTTACCCAGTTTTTGTCAAAGCAGCTTCTTACTGCAGAGGGCAGTGGTTAATGCAGAAACCCAATAACTGACTAAAAAAAAAAAAAGGATGGTGGTGGTGTGCTTGGCCCTAAATGGGACACAGTTATATCATCCCCTCCAAGACTCAGGGAACATCAAGGAAGAAGAGGCAGATGGAACAGGAGAGCCAGATGATGGGGAGATGTATATCAAAAAGATGTCTCCTAAACATGAATGACATTGCCACTGCACTCATAACTGAATGTGGTTATGAAGTTGTGCATAGGACTGCCACAAGACCAAGCTCTTCAGCATTTCATCATGAATGGGGAAAGGCCCAGGAGGCCCCATTCCTTCTTTTAGGTAATGTATGGTTTGAATGGAAGAAGGTGTAATTTTCTTCACTGGTATAGACACTGATAAGTTGCCCTTGCTTTAGCAAATACTGTTCTACTCATGCTCAGGAAAGAACTCTAGTCTCAGTAGGCCATACATGAAAAGAAGACATGGGCCACGAAGTGCTGGCGCACGCCTTTAAACCCAACACTTCAGACGCAGAGGCAGGTGGATCTCTGTAGACCTGCCTGCTCTACAATGAGTGCCAAGACAGCCAAAGATACACAGAGAAAGCCTAGCTCAGTAAAACAAATTTAAAACAGTAGCAAGTAGTGACAATGTATGGCCATGTTACCCTGAACGGCCTAATCTGGTTTGATCTTGGAAGCAGAACAGTTCAGACCTGTTCAGTACTTACATGGGCCTGGGCCCACCTGTAAATTCTAATTCTCTGCTATTGTATCCAGTCTGTGCCAAAAAGAAACAAGACAAAAAAAACCAGTGAAGTATAATACATTGTATCTGCTTAAAAAAAAAAAATCTCGGGGCTGGAGAGATGGGTCAGCAGTTAAAAACATTGGCTGCTTTTCCAGAGGACCTGGGTTCAATTCATAGTACCCATATGGTGGCTCACAGCTGTCTGTACCCTCAGTTCCAGGGGACCTGACACCTCACATACAAGCACGCAGGCAAAACACCAATGTACAAAAAAAAAAAAACCCATAACATTTTAAAAAACAAAAATAGAACCTCAACTACATAGACCTGGTTGTGGTAAATGCAATGTAGTCCTCCATTCTTCAATTTCCTTTTGTTGATTTTTTTGTAACCCAGGGTGTCACAAACTGCAATTCTGTCTCAGCCAGTAGGTCCCACTCGTTCACTCGTTTATTATTTCTGACAACTGAACATGTATACACACCTCAAAATTCCAGTGTGTAATTTGGGGCCTTTTGTGTTTCCACGGTACTCTCTGTCTCTGTCTCTCTCTGTCTCTGTCTCTCTCTCTCCTCTCTCTCTTCTCCCCCCCCCTCTCAAGATAGGATCTCATGTACCCCAGCATAACATTTAACTCCTGTTCCTCTTGCTTTTTCCTAGCCAAGTATTATGAATACAGACGTGCTCAAACGCGCCTGGAGCACTCAGATGTTTTACCATTAAAAAAGTATCGTTTTGTAAATAAACAGAGCTGGGAATAGGGTTGGAGAAAAGGAAGTAAAATCCCATCGCATATTCCCCCGCCCAAGGTGATCTCAACTTTCAAGATCTTTTATCTTCCTCCCAACCTAGATCTTCCAGAGCCACAAGGTAAACATCAGAAAAGCCACTCTAGCCCAATTCAGAGGACTAACTCGTTAGCCTGGGAGGTTCACCCCTCTATCTCTCGGTGGGTTAACGAGTTCAATGCTTGGCCCGTTTCCGTTTAGGGAGGGGTAAGCCCTCCTTCCCTCTCTCTGGGTTCCTTCAGATAGTCCTGCCATTGAGCAGTCCCCCGGTCGGCCCTCATTCTCCTCCCGATACTCCCTCCCCTCGGAGGACTGTACTAATACTCGGGATGCTCCAAAGGTCCGCGAACAGGACGAGAAGAGCTGTGGCCGGATTTTCTGGCCAGGATGAGTCACTTCCGGTCACAGACTCCCTCCTCCGGAAGTAGGACCTGATGTAAACAGCAGAGCCGGGCACCAAAGCCCGGGAGGTCAGAAATTCGTGCCGCAGGCGGCACCAACATCTAGGGCAGGGGTCGGGGAGGGGTGAAGAGCAAGTCGGCAAAAGCGAGGTGCAGCTGGAGCACGATCCAAGGGTTGGTCAGGGTCATGGGGTGGGTGTTTCTGCTAGAGGTCTTGACAGGTGGTGGATGGCTGGGGACAGGCGGCTTGAGTAGGTGCTGTCATGGAAAGGAACATGACTTTTGGGAGAGGGTGAGGCATTTCACTTACGGTTCTTAGTTTGGGCATTTGGATCAGAGATCTAAAAGAGGGCTTTGGAAGCTAGTGCTATTCAGAGTATGGCTCATACAGAGAAGCAAGACCCAGGTATTACACCAGAAAAAGTAGGTTTGAAGTCTTAGAGGATGGGTAGAAGGTGTGTCTGCAGAGAGGTCTTGGAGCGATGGGGTTTGACAAGAGACTGAGGCTTCTAAGACAGGGCGAGAGAGAAGCGGTTGAGGTTTCCCTAGGCAGGTTTGGGGGGCGTCATCTGTACTGGGAGAAGGTCTTTAGAGGGTATCTGAGCCTTAGGGCAGGGTCTCCAGGAGATAATGTGGGAACAAAAAGGACAAATTTTAGGGATGAGGAGGTTCATGAGAGTGTCATTGGGTCAGCTCAGTTAGGAGTCGTGGGTAGAGACTACAAGGAATGGAACGTATCCAGTGTGAACAACTTCAAATGTCACGGGAATGCTGGGTGGGGCCTTCAGGAGATAAGTGGAGGGAGTTCCTAGGCTTGCCTTAGTGATCAGCATTATCGATATGAGAGAAGGGTTTGGGGAAAGTGTTGCATGGGGAAGGTGCAAATGAGAGGTCCTGGGGGCAAATAAATAAGAGTTAGAAAGGCTTGAAGAGGGGAGTTCTGTGGGTGATGGGCCATTCATAGCAGTCTCAGAGAGATGCAAGCTACCTTAGCCCTTGTTCTCTTATTTACTGACAGGTGGAGCTGGGTGCAGGTGTGAAGATGAGAAGCTTGTGGAAAGAAATTTGAGGTCATGTCAGGCATTAGAGCCAAGAATGGCTGGGAGTGAGGAGGTATCAAGGGATATCGTCTACCCCATTACTTCCTGATAGGTTCAGTAAGGGTTGGTATTTATGGAAGTTGTGAGTCTATGTCATTGTAGGCCAAGATACATTGTGACTGTGGTCTTGGTTTGAACAGAAACTCTGAGGTATACTACACTTGTTTTTGTTTTTTGCAGTCTGGCAAAGAAAAGTATCAAAATGGGGAGGAATCCTGGAGTGATGGCACACGCCTCTAATCCATTCACTCAGGAGGTGGAGGCTGGAGGACTGCTGGGAATTCAAGGCCAGCCTGTGCTACATAGGGAGTACCAGAACAGCCAGGGATACGTAGCAAGACCCTATCTCAAAACAAAATAGACAAAGTGGTGAGGAAGAAGAAATCGTTTGGGGGACAGAAGTTGTAGGACTTGAGAGGACACTCCAGAACTATTATTCTCAATACTGTCACTTTTTGTGCCTAGGGAGACAGTCCTGAACCATGACGCAGCAGCCACTTCGGGGTGTGACCAGCCTACATTTTAACCAAGACCAAAGTAAGCTTGCAATTGTATCTTTGTGGGAAAGATAGGAAACAAGGGTCACAGATAGCTGTGAGCCCTAGAATTTTGAGTCAGACAGATTCCTTCCATCCCCAGGCTGCTTTTGCTGTGCCATGGAGACAGGTGTCCGAATCTATAATGTGGAGCCACTGATGGAGAAGGGGCATCTGGGTGAGTGGCTAGAGTGCTGGGACAGCGGGCAGAAGGGCTGATGTGGGCACTGGCATCTAACTCTACTGACACTCTGGTCCCTGTGCAGACCACGAGCAAGTAGGCAGCGTGGGCCTGGTAGAGATGCTGCACCGATCCAACCTGCTGGCCCTGGTGGGCGGTGGTAGCAGCCCCAAGTTCTCAGAGATCTCAGGTAAGTGCTTTCATCCTGTAATTGACCCAGATTCCCCAAATTCCTTACTTCCCACATACACCCTGAGGCACTGGCAGATGAACTTGTCAGCACCTCAGAGTCCCGAGGTGAGGCAGTTTGTAAGTCATGGATCTTACAGCTTGCAATGTTTGATCTGTTATTTACTGAAACAGGGTCTCACTGTGTAGACAAAGGTTGATGATACTGGTCTCAAACTCACAGAGTGCTGGGATTAAAAGATGCCCCACCACACCCAGCTTTAATCTTTCATTTTTATTTAGGAAACGTTACTGGAGCTGGAGATGTAGCTCAGTGGTAGACACTTGCCTGGTACGCTCAAGGCCCTTGGTTCTATCCCCAGCACTATAAAAACAGCAAAACCACTTCTTGTCTGTCTCCTATTTGCCATGTGTCTTAACAATGGAGCACTTACTGGGAGCCTAATAGTTATTTTAAGCACTTTACACACAAACACATTAATTTGAGACAAGGTCTTCTGGAGCCAAGTATGACCTTAAATTGATCTTCCACCTCTTAAATGACTTATCCAAAATCACATAATTAATCGGCTTTTCAAATCTTGGAGCTGTCTCTCCTACACCCTTTTGGCTAGAGCCTCAAGTGCCACTTTGTTTTAAGGTTTTGTCCTTGTTGATTCTACCACAATGTGGCAAGAGTTATCATAGGTGAGCTGCAGAACCCTAAAATTGATTACAAAGTATCCCACAAGTGTGGACTGTATCCTGAAGACAGTAGTTACAGAGGAATGTTGTGGATCTGGGTATAAATCCCTTAGCTGTTCTTGTGCTAAAAGATCCTTGATCACACTCAGCTCATTTGAGCCGTGATTTCCTTATCTCCAAACAAACATAACTGTTCTTGGCGTTTTCTTAGAGATCTTGTCCCCAAGTGTATATGCTGTGTGATGCTCACATTTAATATTTAGTGAAAGGTGTAGCAAGTGGTTGAGGGCCCCTGAGGAGTACAGATGGGCCCTGTGTCACTCAGTCTGCCTCTTACCCTAAACCTTGGTCTTGCCAACCCACCCATCTGCCTGTCAGTGCTGATCTGGGACGATGCCCGAGAAGGCAAGGACTCCAAGGACAAACTGGTGCTGGAGTTCACCTTTACCAAGCCAGTGCTGGCTGTGCGCATGCGCCATGACAAGTGAGCTTGATGAAGACTGGGGTGGGGGGCAGGAGGTTCCCACGGCAAGTAAGCCCGCCCCTCCCCCACTCGGGCAGTTTCCCTTTCCTCATGGCCTTCTATGTTGTGTGTGATGTCTGCAGGATTGTGATTGTGCTGAGGAACCGCATCTATGTATACTCCTTCCCTGACAATCCTCGAAAGCTGTTTGAGTTTGACACTCGGGACAACCCCAAGGGTGAGAGGACCCAGATATCCAGGTGTAAGGATATGAGGCTGTAGAAGAGGCAAAAAGGAGAAGGGACACATACTTAGAAATGCTAGGGGCAAGGTTCTAGACCAGATACAGCCCTTTCAGTCACTACCTTAGCCGTACCCCTAATCCTGCTCCACATGACAAGAGAAAGCACTCATTGAGGACATGGGTAAGTTTACAGCCAGCCATGGGCCTCCAAGGATTTCTTGGCAATTTAGAATCTGTTTAGACCATGGAGGGTGGAGCTTAATGCAGAGCCTAGCCCTGTGAGTTTGCTATGGGTAATACACCACAGAGGGTTACAGTCTGGCACGCACTTGTCCGGCTCTATCCATTCTGAGACTCAGCTTTCCCCTGACCTCTTCACCTGCCCATCCCCACTTCATCCTCACAACTTAGGGCTGTGTGACCTCTGCCCAAGCCTGGAGAAGCAACTGCTTGTGTTTCCTGGCCACAAGTGTGGAAGCCTGCAACTAGTGGTGAGCCTTCCAGTGGGCAAGGGCAAAGAGATGGGCAGACTGCCTCTCCCTTAAGAACTTGTGGTCTCTCTCTTCCAAGCTCAAACTGTCCCCTCCTACTCCAGGATCTGGCAAGTACAAAGCCTGGCACTTCATCAGCTCCATTCACTATCAATGCACATCAGAGTGATGTGGCCTGTGTGTCCCTGAACCAGCCAGGCACCGTGGTAGCCTCAGCCTCCCAAAAGGGTACCCTTATTCGTCTTTTTGACACCCAGTCCAAGGAAAAACTGGTGGAGCTTCGAAGAGGCACTGACCCTGCCACCCTATACTGGTGAGCACAGGATATGTGGGGTAGGGTGGTGGCCTTACAGCACGAGTCATCATGCTGGCCATCATTCCTGGTCTATCTTGCAGCATTAACTTCAGCCATGACTCCTCCTTCCTCTGTGCTTCCAGTGACAAGGGCACTGTCCATATCTTTGCTCTTAAAGACACCCGCCTCAACCGCCGCTCTGCGTGAGTATCCTCACCCAATCCTTTGTTGTCCCAATCCCCCTGGCCATATGCCATACCTGGACTTACCAAATGCTGCTTACAGGCTGGCTCGTGTGGGCAAGGTCGGGCCTATGATTGGGCAGTACGTGGACTCTCAGTGGAGCCTGGCCAGCTTTACTGTGCCTGCTGAGTCAGCATGCATCTGCGCCTTTGGTCGAAATACTTCCAAGAATGTCAATTCTGTAATTGGTGAGTGGCAATAGCCTCCTTGGTTTGTGGCACTACATGGGTCAAGGACTGCAGGTCGGACCTAAAAGAATTTCCCAAAAATGGAGAAAAAAGAAAAAGAAAAAAAAAGAATTTCCCGGTTTTCAGAAGCTGGAGGAAACTTGGAATGTGTGGCTCAACCTCATAATTAGTAAGGGGTGTAGCACTTGGGCAAAAGCCTGGAGTTAGACCATGAGCCATGGTGGGACACCAGAGAGGATTGGAGTCTGTGGCTGGGGCATCTCCTAACCTTTCATAACACCTCAACCCTCCCCAGCCATCTGCGTAGATGGGACCTTCCACAAATATGTCTTCACTCCTGATGGAAACTGCAACAGAGAGGCCTTTGACGTGTACCTTGACATCTGTGACGACGATGACTTTTAAGAGCCCTGGCAGCTGTACTAGGAACCTGCAGTAGCAGATGGCCAAACTGAGTCTTGAGGGTGTTGAACCAGCCAGCAAGCATTAAGGAGGCCTCTCACTCTCCATTCAAGCACAGCTGTGTCTAAATAAACAGCTCACTTCCCCAGAGCACTTTTTGGTGACTGTGCGGAAGGCCATGGACAGTTTCCCTGGGCCACCTAGTCTGGGAAACACTCATAGGGACCCAAAGGGGTTGTCGTAATCCAACCTGGGGATTTAAAAAAGGTTACCAGGAGATAGCGTCTGTGATGTATACGAATAAAGGGCCTTTAAATGGCATTTATGACTTGACCTCAAGGGTGGGGCATACTTTTCCAGGAGCAGTGTGACCTAGGCTCCTGACAGGAAGTGGGATCCAGCTCTGGACTTAACTTCCTATTCTTACTAGTCTATACAGCTTTGAGTCTACGTACAGCTTGCACAGTCCGGCATAGTGCCCCGCCCAGGGGTGAAGAGAAGTTCGAGTTTTGAGCTGCTCGCCGCGTGGCGAACCTTGGTTTCCCGGCAGTCTCTGCTAACATAGTTGGCGGTTTCTGGTCACGTTCTTGTTTGCAGCTGCGCAGTACGCCTAAATTGCTATCGTCCCGCCTAGGCTCTATTTCCCAATGTGCCTCGCGGTGCCGCGAGGGCTCACGGGTGTTGTAGTCTCGCCGCCCTTCGGGCTGGTCCAGCAACCCGCAGGATGTCGGAGGTCCGGCTGCCACCGCTGCGCGCCCTAGACGACTTTGTCTTGGGGTCTGCGCGTCTGGCGGCTCCTGATCCAGGCGATCCACAGCGATGGTGTCACCGCGTCATCAACAATCTCCTCTACTACCAAACTAATTACCTTCTGTGCTTCGGCATCAGTCTCGCTCTGGCCGGGTGAGGGAGGGAGGTAGTGATTGGCTGAAGATACTAGCGGGAAGTAGGGTGGACTTGCGGGTCTTTGAGGATGAGGAGAGGGAGCCTAAGGGGAAATGCTAGGCTGAGAAGGGCGAATTCGGTAGAAAAGGAAGGTCTGAGGGGCATGGATTTGAAGGACGCAGATTTTTGTTATAATGAGGCCTGGGGGGAGGTGAGAGAAGACCTGGGTAAGAAAAGGGGGGAGGGGGACCCGGATTTAAGGAAGGCCTGATCTGGGGATGTGAGACTAAGAGGTTCAGTGATGTGAGTAATGGCAGAGTAAGGGAGCCCTGGGGGTTTAAGACAGAGGTGGGGGTGAGACAAGGTTTGGAAGGTGAGCCTGTAGAGAACCTACTCATATTGGGGCCCAGAGGGAAGACCCAGTGTTGAGAAGCTGGAGGCTAAAGACAGTCTAGCAGAGGTACTTAGGTAGGGTTGTAAGACTGGGACTGAAAGCAAGGACAGGTTTGTTCAAGCAACTGTGGGAGGGTAGCTCTATATGAAGGTGGAATAGTGGAGGGCCTTTTAAAGGAAATGATACAGAACGTACCTAGTCTGCATAGAGAATATGTGTTGACTGAAGGCCTTGGTGAGGGATCTGCAAGGGTTAAAGTCAAATAGAGGAATGTAGGAGCAGATCTGGGAAAGGTAGAAAGAAACCCTTCAGGGTTAAACCCTTCTAAAGTTAAAAAGCAGAGAAGTGTTGGGAGCCCAGGACCTCTGGCAGGATGTGAGGACCTGATAGGACTGTAGTACAGAGGAGTTGAGAGTTCACAGGAATTCCTGGAGGATGGACTTGGAGACAGGCATGGTGAGCCTATGCTAGGATGCTGATTCTGGATACAAGGAACAAAATTCTTAGGGGGGTCAGGATTGGGTGGATGGTGAGGCTAGCTGAGTGCCCTTGTTCCTGCAGGTACATTCGTCCACTGCACACCCTCCTGAGTGCACTGGTAGTGGTGGTGGCCCTCGGGGTGCTGGTGTGGGCTGCTGAAACCCGTGCAGCTATGCGCCGCTGCCGTCGCAGCCACCCTGCTGCCTGCCTGGCTGCGGTGCTTGCCATTAGCCTCCTCATTCTCTGGGCCGTGGGCGGCGCTTTCACCTTCCTGCTCTGCATCACAGCGCCGGTGCTTTGTGAGTCTCTACTCCCTGGTATAGCTGGGAAAATGGGCAGCTCATGCTTGAACACCAGGCCTGCCCTGCACTGGTTCCTGGGCTAAGGGAACTGGAAACCCTGGAGGACAGACATGCCTCCATTAACTGTCTTCCTTGGCTTTGCTCCCTCTCTTCTGGGAGCATCCCTCTCTTTATTACCTTTTTGTGTCTTCCAGTGTTAAGTGCCTTGAACTGTCCAAGTCCTGATTTATGGGATGTCCTTCCTGGCCACATCCCCCATAGCAGGCTAGCCTGTCTCTGGGTAAATTCCCCATTGTGGGCTGCAAGCTAAGCCCCCTGACCCACTCTTGGTATCGCCTACAGTGATCCTGCTGCATGCTTCACTACGCCTGAGAAACCTTAAAAACAAGATTGAGAACAAGATCGAGAGCATTGGTCTAAAGCGGACTCCAATGGGACTGCTCCTAGAGGCACTGGGACAGGAGCAGGAAGCTGGATCCTAGGACTGTGGCATCTACACCCTGTATCTAGACCACCCTCAACCCCACCCCCTCCCCATACCGAAGATGGAGCCTTTCCCCAGCCATTAAAATAGGAGTCTAGTGCCCTCTGGCCTGTCCAAAAAATAAAAGACACCTGTGACTGCATACTCCAACCCCAAACTCCGTCATTTCTTGCCCTCCAGCCCCTGTTATCTAGGGACCAAAGTCTTCCTCAGTACAGCCTTGAAACTGGGTTTTTAAACCAGAGCATATCCATTGTCAATCTCAAAACTGGACCCAGAGATACTCCCCTAACCCAAATCTGAGACTCACTGGTCTTCCCTACTTCGAAGCTAGGACTTGGGGCAGGACACTCTCAAATCATGAGCTCTAAGGATTTTTCAAACCCTATCCGGCTTGGAACCCAGGTTAAGACATGGCCAAATCTTGAGCTTAAGTCCCAATTGTACTCAGCCCTGACCCCATTGAACCCTTGCACCTAGGTGACCCTAACCCTCAGCAAACCCAATAGCCTCCTTCCAACTCTGTTTAGAGGTTTTCTCCCTCCCCCACAATATTTCCAGTATTAAGGACCAAGGTGTGGGGCTGACTAGCGATAGCCCCAACTTGGAATGGAGCACATATATTAGTGTTCCTGCAACAATAAAGCCGTTGAATGCCAAGCTAGTTTGCCCTCCTGTGTGAAGTTCTTTTACTTTTCAATGAACAACCCCGTGGCTGTCTTCAGTTCTGCTGGACCATACCTGACCAGGTTTAAGTATATGTGCTGAAAGGGTGACTACTGTGGTCTTCAAACCTGCTGCCTCTGAATTAGCATTAAAACACAGGGATGCAGAAATGTGTGCTATCATTTTAGATATTCTCTTGTAAGTGGGCTTGGATGGAAGTGCAAGCAGGCAAAGAAGCTGCCCATCTCACAAAGCAAGTGAAGTCAACACATGCTAGCTGAACATAGTGATACCAGCAATCCCATCACTGAGGAGGCTGAGGCAGGAGGACTATGTGTTATGGCCAGCCCTGGCTACATACAATCTAGCTCAAGAAAACAAAATACTTGGGACTTTTGTAAGCTATTTCTGGTGTTTTTTCTTGCCATAATTTTTTTTTCTGACTGGGCATGGTTGTACATGCCCTTTACTTCAGACCAGGTGGATCTCTGAGTTTGAGGCTAGCCTGGTCTACAAAGTAAGTTCCAGGCCAGCCGGGACTACACAGTGAGTCCCTGTCCTGTCTCATAAATATATACATATGATCTGGTCTTAACTAAATGTGTGGGTTCCTGAGGTGAAGCAGACAAAGAAGCAATCCACAGGTTCAGTTTATACATTTATTATAGAAATCCCCTTCCAGTGTGAATAGTGTCTTGGGCCCAGATCCACTGGTACAAAAAAAAATTTAACACCAGGTAAAGGGGGTAGGGGAACCCCCAGCTCCAGAAAGTCACAGACAATATAGAAAACACAGCTTATGTGGATTTGTTTAAAAAGTGGTAAATAGAAGGAAACCAAGGAGGACATGATGTGGCCTGTGGCCCATGGCCAGATGTCACCTGAGGGTTTTGCTGGCATCTACCAATTGCCAGTTTTAACCACTGCAGCATCCCAGGATGCAACATACTCAAATGGCTCTGCTTCTTGACATCCTCTTGTATAGCCTCCTGATTGGGGAAGATCAGCACAGAGGCCATGGACAGAGACAGAGACAATAGCTCCTTCAGATACCCCACCTAGACTTCCATCCTTCCAAACGTGGACAGGAGCCCATCTGTCTGAGAACTCTAGTGGGAGGAGGCAAGGAGTTCTGTTCACAGCAGTCTCTTAACCCCCCCCCCCCCGAGACTCTATATGGGCCATTTCATTGAGGCGGGGAGGTGGTTCCTGAATGGAACAGGCTGGGCATAGGGTCAGGAATGAACCCAACCAGGAATGAGCTCACAGTTTCCCTTTTATAAAACACCTAGTGTTGGGCAAAGACGGAATACTAAATCACAACTGTAAACAGAAATGGAGGAAGGGGCAGAGTCCACCATTATCCCCCTCTTTGAAGCTAGCTGGGGCCCTTCAGTCCCCCAGCACAGGATGAGAAGAGAAGCAGGGGTATCGGACATCCTCCTGGGCCCAAAAGAAGCCAGGCGTCCTGTGAGATCAAGCAGCTGTCCCTCAGGACCAAGAGCAACCACATCCCAGGGCTCAGCGAGGTCGACCGTGTGCTCCCCAGACCAACATGGGGCTTATCAGGAAGGGTCAGACCAATGTCCCTGGGGTCTGGGAATCAGAACTGGAAGACTGCTCCCCCTCTAGCGTCAGGTCACTTAAACGAGCGCTCAGCTCCGGGGGATACAGGAAGTCCGTGTAGTATCTTTAGAAAGGACAGCAGGAATCCGATAAACAGGGAAGATAAAGAGAGGAAAAGACAGACAGGACACACACAGAGAGAGGAAAAGAGGTTGTTAAAGAGGTGGAGACAGGCACAGGACAGCACCTTCAGGCTCTTAAGCATGGGGTATGGAGCTTGGGGAAAAAAAAGCCAGGGAACACACATGCCCCTTCCTCCCAGCACCCTGACTTCAAGGCTCACTGCCAGATGTCGCCTACTAGGGAGAACAGAAAAATCCTTCTAAAGCTTGGGAAAGAACTCCTGTTACCAACATCCAAGACCCCCCTCACCAGGACCCCAAGGACTAATACAGGTTATGTCTGATACAGTGACCCCATGCCAAGACTACATACAGCTAGTTTCCTTGTGGTCCCACTCATCAGCTATTTTGACAAAGTGCTCCCTGGTCAGGATACCTTCAGCATCTGAATCAATACCCTACCCATCAGTAAAAGCACCCCCATACCTGCCGGAGACAGGGGGTGCTGTGAAACTCCTCGAGTGCGGGAGCGGTGCCTGGCTGGGAGGACCGTATAGTGCCTGGCCCACCTCATAGCAGCGGGCATGGAGGAAGGGTGCATGTGTTGGGCCCACATGTGGAAGCATAGGCCGGCGCTGAGGCCCCATGGCCAGTCCTGAATTCCGGATGTACCAGTCCCGGAGCCCCTCCAGGGCAAGGTTCTTATGGCCACCTCGCTCACCAGCTGGAGGTAGCCGAGTGGGTGGTGGCATCCAGAGTAATGGGTTTGGATGTACCTCCAGACCCTCCACAGCTTCTGTGGGCAGGCCACAGGGCTTGGAACGGATGGCACGGGTGTTGGGGTCTTTGCTGCGGAGAAGGGGGCTGCTACCGTCGGCTGTATATATGGGTGGAGGACCAGGGAGCATGGCAAGGAGCCCATCTCTGCGGGAAAGGGGTCCTGGAACTTCAGGAGCAGGAAGCAGATCCCCCCAACCTGCCCCACCAGCACCACGGGACAAGCCCCGGTCCAATGAATAGTCCAAGAGGAAGTCTCCACACACAGGTGGGAGCCGGGGGGGCCCACGGGATGCAGGGGCAGCTGAGCTAGGCCGGGCAGCCCGAGGAGGGTCTGGGGGGCCAGCAGTGCGGGAGGAGAAGGCAGGGACTGGTTGGGGGCGCTCATACAGCACCTCACTGCTCTTGCAGACTGGAGGACCAGCAGCAGGGGGAGGCAGGGGGGCAGGTGGAGATCCAGCTCCCCCGGCAGCTGCTCGGTCCACCAGCAGGGCCTCGGAGCTATTGCTTCGGCGGGTGCGAGCTACGAAGAGCGAGGCCCGATCCGAAGCAGGGTCAGGCCGAGGAAAGCCCATCTGGGAGTCCTGACTACCCGACCACTGGCGAGAATGGAGGCCTTCAGGTCTAGAGAACAGAGGTGCGGTAACAAGAGCAGGGTCAGAAACAGAAGACAAATGATAAGTGCCCCGACTGCCCCATCTCTTTCTGAGACTTCACTAATTTCTAAAATAGGACCAGGATTAGAAGTTGTGTACATATAGCTGCTAAGTAGTGCATGTAAAGGGCCACTGAGATTTGATCCCAGACAGGGAAGCCAGAAGGAAATGTATACCAGGATAGGGCAGCAAGTGCTTAGGGTGATGTAAATGCTTCTGGAATGGGAAGGAAGCACTAGCTAAGGAATGACACACACAAGCACTCTTCTGTTACCTGTAGCTCCTGTTCTGCTAGGCTAGCCTTTCTGCCTCCTGAAGGACCTAGCTCCTGAAGGAAGCCCTATGCCTTATGACTGGACCTAAAGGCTTTCTGAACTCTAAGCCACCATGTCTATGAACCATCCACAAACAATCATCCCACCATGCACAGAATGGATGCCCCATGAAGACGGGGATTCTGTTCACAGTGTGGGAAAAGTAGGCATCTAAGTATTTAAGAAACATTATGGTACAGTGCTTTGAGGCTGAGATTCAAAAACATTTGCATGGGTTCAAAAGTCAGAACTTCGGTTTACTCACAAGCTACTTAATTAACCTTTCTGTGCCTCAGTTTCCACGCCTATAAAATGCAAATAACAGCGCCTCCTCAGAGGGCTCTTAGGATGATAAAGGAGCTGCTATCCACAGCAAATGCTACCAATTATCAGCACACAGTAGGCAGTTGATACATGCTACCCAACATGCACTGTTCCTGTCTCTTTCAAAGGCAGATATTACACTCACTTCACAAATGAGGAAGGAAAGATTCAGAGAAAGAAAATGACTTATCCAAAAACAAAACCCCACAGGAAAAACCCATATTCAATCTTTCATGCCTCTGCCTCCGATTCCCACTCCAACTTCTATCCACCTTGCAAAGCCCAGCTGCCCATGTCCCACATCTGTTGGTAACTTCTATTCAACATCTACAATTACAACTAAAGGTTTCCTCCTCTGACACTCAGACCCACCCTCAAGAGTCCCCTTACTTGCAGAGCCGGGGGCCAGTGCCCCGGGTGAGGACAGGGGTGGCAGGCACACTTCGCCCCTCAAAACTGGAGGCACTCCTGGGCAGCGAGCGTGTGGGGCTAGACAGAGATGGCAGGCCCACATCGGGACCCAGGTTAGAAACTGCACCCACCAGTAGACCCTCCTGCCAACCCAGGCGCAGGATCCCACTCCTAGTCCCAGGAAAGGAGAAAGAGGTTCCTCTTTACCTGGTGGGGCTGGCCACAGAGTTGCGCCGGCTCTTCAGGTCCCCATAAATATCTGATGGGGGAGGTTTCCATGGGGCTCGCCGCTCAGGGCTCCCCCCGGATGCTGCCCGAAACTGGTCCCAGGCCTTTGGTGGTGAGGGGCGCTCGGTTAGAGAGAAGCAGCTATGAGGATCCTCTGGGTAGAAGGGAGAATAGGGTAGAATTCAATGAGAGAGGGCCAGGAAAGGGCAGGGCAGGTTTAAAGGGGAGGGGTATGTGAAGCCTAAGAGATAAAGTGAGGCAAATGTAGAGGCTGCTCTGTAGGGTCTAAGGCAGAGGAGGCAGTGACTGGGAAAGCTAAGGACACATGGGAACATGGGGTATGGCTAGAGAGGAGCTAAAGGAGGAGGGGCTGAACAGAACAGGATACTCTGAGAGGACACAGGGGTGGGGGTAAGGGTGGGGGTGGGGGGCTGAGCTCAGGTTGTTGGGATAGTTCTCACCATTATCATGGCTGGCCCCTGACTCTGAGAGGGAGCTGCTCTCCGAGTGCAGAACTACATCCTCTACAGGTGAGAAAGGAAAAGTAGCCCATCACTCCAAGGTCTGGGTTCCATCCCGTCACACCACCAGACAGGCAGG